AAAAAAAAAAAAAAAAAAAAAAAAAAAAAAAGAATTTTTGAGTAAAACCAGAAAAATTGAGGTAAGAAAAAAAGAAAACAAAAATAGGACTAATAATTTCTGTTAAAAAAATTAACAGGCCATAGTTTGTGATGCTTAGTAAATGTGTTGCTGAAATGTGTAACTGTGAAGACTTGGGGGTTTCTTGAAATCTCACCCCATGTGAAATGAAACCAGTATAAAACAAATGATTACCTAATGAATTGTAACCTATTATTTATGAAACAGAAGAGTAAGTGAAGCCTTACAGCAGTCTGCTTTGAGTATAGGACAATATTAAGAGAGAAAAAATTTGTCCTATGCTTCCAGAATGGTTTGTTGGTAAAATAACCAACAATAACCATTATAATCTAAGTCTTACAACTTAGATTATAATGTTCCCAGAGTGAAGAAAAATAATTAATTTGGCTACCACAGTTTAATGAAAATATTTCATATAACAAAATGTAAAAAAAATAGACAAATGTCTCCAAAATGACAAAGCAATTAAATATATACACAAAATGAACAAGAACATCAATAAAATCATGCAGTATACAATATACATTTATTAAAGTACATGTATTTTTAATGCAACAATAATACTAAGAGGTAACACACAAGTCGTTAATAGTTTATCACTGGCTAATTAAATAACAGCATTATTTTATTCATTTTTCAGCTTTCCTACAATAAGCAGAAATCACATTAACCTTTTTTTCTTCTTTTTTTTTGGAGACAGAGTCTCGCTCAGATGTTCAGGTTGGAGTGCAGTGGTAAGATCTCACTCAATGCAACTACTGCCTCCTGGGTTCAAGTGATTCTCCCGTCTAGGCCTCTCAAGTAGCTGGGATTAGAGGCACCCACCATCATGATTGGCTAATTTTGGTATTTTAGTAGAGACACGGTTTCACTATGTCGACCAGGCTGGTCTTGAACTCCTGACCCCAGGTGATCTGCCTGCCTCCACCTCCCAAAGGGCTAGGATTACAGGCGTGAGCCACTGCACCTGGCCAACATTTACCTTTTTCTACATAACTTTTCTAACCAGAAAAAAAGAAATTGGTTTAAAATAAGAGACAAGATATCCTTGCTAAAATATAATGCCTACAAAATAAACTTTTGAGCTATACATGGTATCCTAAAGCACCTGCCCTGCAAGACAGAATGCTTGTATCACATTTATGCAGCCAAATGCATGCGGCAACATAAAGTAAACACATGCCATCTGGCTATATATATTAAGACCCTTTTCAACATGGTCAGGTGAATCGATTTCCCAGAATCTAGCAATTCCTGAGAGTCCTGGTTAGACTTTTTTTTTAAATGTGCACCAGAACCCCAGTGACCCCAGGACAGGGCCTGGGAATCCTCTACACTGCTTGGTGGCTTCCATTGTGCCATCTCAAAATGAAATCGCTTACTACAGTTCATCAAGGGAAATACCACCAGGGTTCTGACTCCAGAGGCACTGGCCTAGGGAAGACAGTGTGTGTGAAGGCCCAGCAGGGATACCAGCTGTCCCCACCAATCACAGTCCTTGTATAGGAGCCAAAGAAATGAATACCAGAGAGAGCAACAGAGGAGCAAGGGAGTCACATTCTGGCTCCTTCCCACAGGGATTTTGAAAGGAAACATGACAGCTGAGGATCAACTGGTTGTTTTCTGCTGTTTCCCTTCAATCTGATTCACACTCACACAATGAGGCCAGGCATGGTGACTCGTGCCTGTAATCCCAGCACTTTGGGAGGCTGAGGTGGACAGATCACGATGTCAGGGGTTCAAGACCAGCCTGGCCAACATGGTGAAACCTTGTCTCTATCAAAAATACAAACTATTAGCCAGGCGTGGTAGTGGGCGCTTGTAATCCCAGCTATTCAGGAGGCTGAGGCAGGAGAATCACTTGAGCCTGGGAAGCAGAGTATTGTAGTGAGTGGAGATCGCGCCACAGCACTTCAGCCTGGGCAACAGTGAGAGGCTCCATTTCAAAAAAAAAAAGAAACACAATGAGACAAGAGAAGAGCCATCTCCTTCCTTCTCTATTTACTACAGGCATCTACCTGAATGTAGTGCTGTATGAGATGTATCAAATAGACTGACTGAGTTTGAAACATGTTTCTATCACTGGCTAGCTATGAGATACTCTATACTTCACTTTCTTTGTCTAAAAAAGAAATGTGGTAAATAAACAGTACCTATCTCATAGAATTATCATAAGAATTGCATGCAATAATGCATGTAAGTAGGTGCTCAGAAGAGTCAGACACCATGTAAGTGCTTCTATCATCATCATCATCACCCTTATGATAATTTTCATTATCAGAACAAGGAGAGACAAGGTAGAAAATTATTTTGATACTTCAGGTCTGGAATACTAGAGTAGCATCCCAAATGCAGGCACCAATGCACTCTGAAGACCTGTAGGACACCTTCATGCAAATTAGAAAAAGACACCTCTTCACAACCTCTTTAAAGATATTCGCCTCCTACCTGCTAAAAACACCCATGGTAATACCCACGGACATCCATGATGCTTTTTCTGGGAAAGGTGCCTCTTCCAGTTGTGCAGTGTGCAGCCTTCATAGCTGTCCAACCCACAGCACAATCGGATGGAAGAGTCCCCATAGCTTGGTGACAGATGAGTTGCTGGGTAACACAGAGGGAAATTCAAAGGAAAAGTCGAGCGGGTCCAGAAAATACCTAGATACATATGTAAAAATCTGGTAAGATTATGACATCTATGTGCCAGGGTTCAAAGGTTTTCTCAGACGTTAAAATGAATCATGTAAGTCCCCAAAATTAAGCAGCCCTCTTCCAAAAATAGGAAATGAGATGACATAGGTGTATGTGCCTGAGATGATGGAGAAAATGAAGAAAGCCTCTAGATGCAGCTTGAGGTTCATGAGAGGCAGTTCCAGAGGGGAAGTCACAGCTAGGGATCACTGGCATACAGAAACTCAAAAACCTAAATGGGGAAATCTTTTGGAGGAAATGAACAGAGAAGGCTAAAAGCAAAGAGTTCTTCAGGCAGTTTCTATTTTTAGGTTCAGCTCTGTCCTGAAACACGAAGAGCTCCATAAGTGCACTTCCTTTTTGAGTCTCTAATTCTGTCTCCTTCCCACAGTGAGTCTACAGGCTGCATGTCACTCACATTCGGCTAAGACGTATTGCCCCATGGCTCCTCCTGTGGAGACAAGAGACCCAGGAGAGAGGCATCACAAACCCAGGCATCATCTGGACTCTTCTCTGTTCCTTAATTTCCTCATTCACCCATCTCAATTGAGACCACCCTCGTGGCACTTCTGGATTTCGAGCACCATTATCCCTCATCTGGAGTTGCTTATTGACTTTCTACCTGGCGTCCTCGCCTCCCAACCCTTAACAGCTCATTCACCATATAAGGGAGATTGTGGCTCTCCTTTCTTAGGATCCTTCAATGACACCCCAGTGATCATAACTCAGTGTCTCAAAAGACACTAGGACTCTGAGCTGGCTTCCATCTGCCTCTCTTTTCCCCACACCACACATGTTGAGGGGGTAGAAATGCATAACTGGTGACTGATAGTTATGCAAACTCAGCGTCAAGGTACAGTCATTATTTCTAACCTCCCAGCATGGCTTACAGTCCTCCACTTGGCATGGTTGCTCCGTCTGTGTAGACCTTCCATCATCTTCAACCTCACCTAATGGAATCTCACTTCTCCTTCAAGATCCGGAAGGCTTTCTTTATCCCCAGCTGAATGTGATCATTCTTTCCTTTGACACCCTAAGCATTTGCTCCCTGCCTGCCTTAGGACCTCATGGGGTCTTCTTTAGCTACATTTACTTGCCATCAATTTCACACCCTACCAGATTTGGGTTCTGAGAATAGCCACAGTGACTTCTCAACCTCAAAGCCCCTGCACTACCTTAAACAGCACTTGCAAAATAGTAGGTGTTCTGAAGATGTTTGTTGAAAGTTGAGACTTTCATTCTGGGGAGAACCATTAATTTCTGTCTCCCAGGGAAGTGCTGGTGTTCCCAGAGACTATAAAAGAGAGGCCGGGTGCAGTGGCTTACGCCTGCACCCAATACTTTGGGAGGCCAAGGCAGGTGGATCATGAGATCAGGAGTTCGGGACCAGCCTGGCCAAAAAATTAGCTGGGTGTGGTGGCGCATGCCTGTAATCCCAGCTACTCAGGAGGCTGAGGCAGGAGAATTGCTTGCACCCGGAAGACGGAGGTTGCAGTGAGCAGAGATTGCGCCACTTCACTACAGCCTGGGCAAAAGAGTAAAACTCAGTCTCAAAAAAAAAAAAAAAAAAGAATATAAAAGAGAAAAATGCTTCCCATGGATGCCAGATCCCCTCCACCCTCCCTCTGCCCCTCTTCCTACTGTGCCCTGGGCAGATGTACTAAGAGACCTCCTCCTTGTTCCTACTCACTTGAAGCCTGCCTCTTCCTTAAGATTATGAACAAAATTCCAATCAACAAGATGATGACACAAACAGCAATTCCACTGATGACTCCCATGACGAGGGTGCCAGAGTATGAGGGCTCTAAAACATATAAAGCAATTTAAAGCCTTTGGGAGCCATCCCCAGCCCACCCCCTAACAAAGAGCTGATTCTCATTTCACTCCCGTAATTATCACCTCGGGCATTCCTCCCAACCCCCAGCAGATTTTCTAAGCTCCTGGTTCTCATCAGTCACATACCCCAGATGGCAAGGAGGGGCTGATCCAGGCCTGGGTGCTCCACCTGGCATGTATATCTCTGCTCTTCCCCAGCGGGTACAGCCAAGGCTATCCAGCCCTGGTAGGTCCCATCCCCATTGGGCAATACGTCTTTAGGTTCAACCTCCTCAGCATTCAGTGGCTGCCTATCCTTTAGCCACTTCATGGTGATGTTCCGGGGGTAGAAGTTCAGGGCCCGACATCGTAGAGTGGTCACTGAAGAGGTCACGTGATGTGTCACCTTCACCAAAGGAGGCACTTAACAGGAAAGAGGAAGGATAACCAGAGGGGATCTTTTTACCCTTGCCAGAAAGACTGGAACTTTCCTTTTCTGGGTTGGAGTAAGGAAATGCCCTTTTAAGGAAAAAAACAAGCTGCAGGAGAGACAACATTTTGTGTCCTAAGATTAGGCTCTTACGCAGTATCACTTGGAGCACAATCAGATCAGTCTGTTCTCTTGTCTGACACATAAATATACATACCTGTTACCCATGTTCTCTGTTCTGACAAATAAAATTCCCCTTTATGTGCATTGAAAATGATTGCATATGGATGGTCATTTTCACCTGAATAGACATAATAGGCATATTTTAAAGAAGGGGTCTTGTGGCCGGGTGTGGTAGCTCATGCCAGTAATCCCAGCACTTTGGGAGGCCGAGGCAGTCGGATCACTTGAGGTCAGGAGTTTGCCTGGCTAACATGGTGAAGCCCTGTCTCTACTAAAAATACCAAAAAACCCCACAAAAACAAAAAAAAATTAAACAGGCATGGTGGTGGGTGCCTGTAATCCCAGCTACTTGGGAGGCTGAGGCAGGAGAATTGCTTGAACCCAGGAGGCGGAGGTTGCAGTGAGCCAAGACCGTGCCACTGCACTCCAGCCTGGGTAACAGAGCGAGACTCTGTCTCCAAAAAAAAAAAAAAGCGGGGCCTTTTAAGACAGATAGTTTCGGTGATTATTGCTATGTTCTGTGAAAGAAACTTTTAACCTAAAGGATTCTGCTACTCTGATAGCTGGCCTCACTTGGTATTTTTTTTGTCCTGGTATTCATGAGACTTGACATCTCTGAATTCTTGTGTGTGTGTGTGTGTGTGTGTGTGTGTGTGTGTGTGTGCGCGCGCGCGCGTGTGTGTATTTTTGACATCTCTGAATTCTTAACAGGTGTAAATATACAAAGGATTATTGGTTAAATAAAAACAAGGGCTGCAGACACTTCCCTTTGAGCCATATGCACGGAAAAAAGAAATTAAACTCATTACTCGTGGCTGTCTCATACATCTCAATTATAAGGTAGAGACTCTAGGATTGGGAAAGTCCCTTCCCAGAACTTAGAGAGGCATATAACATGAGCCACCTCTTAAACCCCAGCCAGGGATTCCATGCCCTGCATCCTCTTCCACTCTGCCACTAGAGTGTGGGGTCAGAAGGCTGTTTCCACCATACCTTGCTGGTCCAGAACACCTCTCCCCAGTTCTAGCAACTGCTGCAACTGTGCAGGGCAGTCCCTCTCGAGGTAGGCCCTGTTCTGCCGGGCCCGAATCTTGTGCGCTTCCCACTCCAGCTTGGTGGGCCAGGCCCTGGGCTCTGCTGCTCTCCAATCCAGTGTGTCAGAGCAGAATTCAAGGTGGTCCTGCCCGTCATACCCATACTTCCAGAAGCCCTCGGTGCTGTTGTCCTCTTTCATTTCACAGCCCAGGATCACCTGCAGGGTGTGGGACTCTGGAAAAACCCCCAGCCTTGTTACTACAACCAAAGGAGTAGGTCGCTATTTCTACCATCCCCAATGACCAAATGATCTCAGGAAGAAAATTCCTTCCCTCTTCCCTGCTCCCACAACACCTCAGACTTCTAGCTATTTCCCTCAAGATGCATGAAAAGATGACACGCTCCGACAACCTCAGAAAGATGAGACCACCTCTCCACATACCCTTGCTGTGGTTGTGATTGTCCATAATAGTCCAGAAGTCAACAGTGAACATGTGATCCCACCCTTTCAGACTTTGACTCAGCTGTAGCCACATCTGGCTTGAAGTTCTACTGGAAACCCATGGAGTTCGGGGCTCCACACGGCGACTCTCATGATCATAGAACACGAACAGCTGGTCATCCACGTAGCCCAATGCTTCAAACAATGAAAGACCAAGGTCCTGCTCTGAGGCACCCATGAAGAGGTAGTGCAGAGAGTGTGAACCTGGAGACAGAGCAACAGGCCTTCACCATGTGCAGCAGGAGGGGGCCGGAAGGTTGAGGCTCCACACATACCATCAGCTGTGTCTGTCTCATTCCGGGAAGTGTGAGATGCAGTCCTGTCCTTCCAGTCCTGGCTGCTCCCTCCTTGTGCACCTTTCTCTGCCACATGTGGCTGCCTCCTCTCATTGCCCCCAGACCCTGTTCCATTACTCATAGTTGGACAGCCTCCACTAGAGCTGGTGGATTCTAGAAAATGCTAAGGTGTATCTGGCCGTGGAAATTGAACTAAGGAGTTGGTGCTCAGAGCAAATTTGACCCAAATCCTGAGGAATTCGTTCATGTAGGTTTGTTTTTTTGTGTTTGTTTTTTTAACCACCTTCACAGCTAAAGCTTCTTGTGTGCAAGTCTTTTCCTTGAAATGCTATAAGGATGTGCTGATAAATAGATCAGAGTAACTTTTCTGGATCACAATAGGGCAAAAGCAAATACAGAAGGAGGCCCCCAGAAAGATGAAAGGACAAGACCTCTCGGCAAGTGAGAGTTTCCCGATACCTTTCCTCAATTACAGAATGAGGGGTTCTGGAATGTTTCCCCAGTGCCTACAGGGGCACCTGGCATGTAGTGGGTACTTCAGAAATACTACTTGGAAGAATAAATGATGACACCTAGATTTTTAAGATTTTAATCTTTTTTTTTTTTTTTTTTTTGAGATGGAGTCTCTCTCTGTTACCCAGGCTGGAGTGCAGTGGCACAGTCTCAGCTCACTGCAACCTCCGCCTCCTGGGTTCAAGGGATTTTCCTGCCTAAGCCTCCTGAATAGCAGGGACTACAGGCACGCGCCACTATACTCAGCTTTTATATTTTTAGTAGAGACGGAGTTTCACCATGTTGGCCAAGCTGATCTCAAACTCATGACCTCAAGTGATCCGCCCGCCTCGGCCTCCCAAAGTGCTGGGATTACAGGAGTGAGCCACCGCGCCCAACCTTGGCCCTGAACTCTGACACTGAACTACCTATATGGCCTCACCACTTGGATACTTGACTGGACTCTCAAAGTTAACCTGTCCAAATCCAGATCCTTGACTTGCCCTAAACTGCTCTTTCTGCTGCATTCATCAACTCAGAAATGGCATTGCCAATTACCCCACTGCTCAGGCCAATACAATTAAAATAAAGAACAAAGTCAACTTTAACTCCTCTTTTTATGGGGAGTCAGGGGAGACAGGATCTTGTTCTGTCACCCAGACTAGAGTACAGCGGCACGGCTCACTGCAGCCCCAACTTCCTGGGCTCAAGCAATCCCCCCACCTCAGCATTCCAAGTAGCTAGGACTACAGGTGCATGCCACCACACCTGGCTAATTTTTCTATTTTTTGTGGAGAAGGGGTTTTGCCACGTTGCCCAGGCTGGTCTCGAACTCCTGAGCTCAAGAATCTACCCTCCCTGGCCTCCCAAAGTGCAGGGATTATAGGCGTGAGCTACCAAACCCAGGCAATTCTTCTCTTTGTCTCACACAACATAGAACCCTTCTGCAATCCGTCTCTTGCCTGAACTGTGTCACCGCTTCCTGGCTGGGCTCCCTACTTTTACCATTGCTCCCTTCATTCTGCCTTCCACATATAAGCCAGAGCAGTCTTTGTAAAGCCTATGACGGTCACTGTTACTCCTCACCAGCATTCACACCACAGCCTACAGGCCCTGTACAAGTCATTATTGGCTCCTCTTCTGAGCTCATTACCTACTTCTTGGCCTCTAGCCTCCAGTACGCCTTATGATTCTTTCAACCCTAGCCTCTTAAGTAGGAGATTGTCTCCTAGGTGACATGTGGCAAAGATTACAGGCATTTTTAGTTGCCAAGACAGGGGGAGGCCGCGTACAGTGACTCACGCCTGTAATCCCAGCACTTTGGGAAGCCGAGGCGGGCAGATCATGACGTCAAGAGATCGAGACCATCCTGGCTAGCCTGGTAAAACCCAGTCTCTACTAAAAATACAAAAATTAGCCAGGCATGGTGGCACGTGCCTGTGGTCCCAGCTACTTGGGAGGCTCAGGTGGAAGAATTGCTTGAACCCAGGAGGTGGAGGTTTCAGTGAGTCAAGATTGCGCCACTGCACTCCAGCCTGGTGAAAGAACAAGACTCCATCTCAAAAAAAGAGTGCACTTCTTGGGTTTAGCTATAAAGATTGGCTGATTTGTTTGTAAGAAAAAGATGTTCTATTTATTTTAGAACTACAATANAAAAAAAAAAGACTGGGGGACTGCTCCTAGGATCTAGTGAGTAGGGAGGATGAGCGCCCCTAGGGCCTGGTGAGTAGGGAGGATGAGCGCCCCTGGGACCTGGTGAGTAGGGAGGATGAGCGCTCCTAGGGCCTGGTGAGTAGGGAGGATGAGCGCCCCTGGGACCTGGTGAGTAGGGAGGATGAACGCCCCTGGGACCTAGTGAGTAGGGAGGATGAGCGCTCCTAGCACCTAGTGAGTAGGGAGGATGGGCGCTCCTAGGGCCTAGTGAGTAGGGAGGATGAGGGCTCCTAGGACCTGGTGAGTAGGGAGGATGAGGGCTCCTAGGACCTAGTGAGTAGGGAAGATGAGCGCTCCTAGGGCCTGGTGAGTAGGGAGGATGAGTGCTCCTAGCACCTAGTGAGTAGGGAGGACAGGATACTGCTAGACATGCTGCATGCAGATGGCAGTCCCCGTCCCACCACACACACACAAACACACGAGTAGTGCTGAGAAAACCTGCTTTTTAATCCAACCTGCCAGGCCCACTCAGTTTGCCTGGGAAATAATGCTGGCAGTCAATATTCTCATTTCCTTCGTGTCTCTGCTCAAGTGTCAGAGTGACTTGCCCTGACTTCTCTGCTTCTCACAACACCTGTCGTTTCCTGATGTATATCTTTCTGCTCATTTGCTTATTGTCATCTCTCCCACTAGAATGTGAAATATCAAAGGATAAAGGCTTGTTTCCCTGCCCTATCCGTTGGGCCTAGAACAGTGCAACACATGGTTGGGACTCATTTACACTTGTAAACAACGAATATTTATGCTCAACAGCAAATTTTATTATTCAACCTCTAACACAGTGTGATGTTTAAGAATCCTAGTTATGAACTGGAGACATTAGCTCTGCCACCAAAGCCCTGTGTACCATTGAGCAAATCTGCCGGGAAGCAGGCCAGGCCGAGCACGCCTTATTCTTGTTACGTGTAAAATGTGGATACATAGTACCAACCCTCAAAAAGTGCTGTGCTGAGGCCGGCAGGTGACCCACAGAACACTGTGCCAGACTACAGGGCAAAATCACTGTTAACTAAGCTTACAAGCAGCTGTAGTACTTGAAATAACATCAGAAAAGCAGATTACTTATGTTCTTGGTAACCTGAAAAGAGTTATTTAATCTTAAGTCCAATTAACTTCTAGTAAATTAAGCTTATTAATAGCTCCTACCGCCCTATGCCTAGTGAACGTCAAATAAGATCAGATATGAATATGACTGACAACTGAGTGCACTGCCTACATGTTCACTATCAGTACTCTGACATTCTTTAGAGAAGGCCTCCTGATTACACAGCACATTGCAAATCAATAAAGCCTAGCTGGAAAGAAACTGTTCCGTTCAAACGTTCAAAACTAACATATACTTAATTTTCCAGGCTCAAGAACCACTGCCAAGAGTGGGGAAAGGCCCGAGGTAGGCCTCTCTCAGTAGCCTCCCACCCGAGAGACCTCCACCCCAGGTCTCCCCAAAAGTGGGTGGAATGGGGACGAATTCAGATCCCAACCCCACTCCCCCGCGCCCCCACCGCCCAGCGCTTTCGTTCTGAGATGGAAACCCCGCGCGAGCCCCTGTGTGGGTTCGGTCGGCCTTTTAGGCAGACACACAAGGAAGAACTTCCTGTTTGGAGAAGCCCGGGGGAAAAGCCGCGCAGCTGACACTAGAAACAATAAACCCGAAATCCAGGTGCAAGGAGCCCCAGGCTTAGCTGAGCTCGAGTGAGAAACTACGAGAGTTATTTAAAAGTATTCTGGTCGGGGGCAAGGGAGTGGGCGATTCCGAAAGTCACTCCGAAGAGCCTGGACTGCCGGGGGAAGGGCAGTTCCCGGGACGAGGGACCCCCAGCTGCCCCTCAGTGGCAGGCACTCCCTCCCGGGATCCGGACGCAGAAACTAGGGAGCGGGGCGGCGGATAGGGCTGAGCAGGTTCTCCAAAGTGACCAAACTCCCGAGCGCAAAGAAATGCTACTTTCGGTTTTCCCACCCCCCGCCGCGCCCCCAGTGCGCTCGCAGCCCTCGGACTCACGCGGCAGGCGCCCCTGCGGGACCGCGGTCTGCAAAAGCGTCAGGAGCAGAAGCGCCGGCCCGGCTAGCGGGCTCATTTCTCCGGCTCTGACCGCGCGTCGCTGTCAGTCTCCGCTTCTTTGCTGGGGCGGGGAAACGGGCGGCTCCAGAGCTACCCTACGGCTATGGCTTACGCTCAGGAGATGCCCTGCAAAACTTCCTGGTGAAAAGCAAGAGGGCTTCAGAACGTTAATTTCCTCTCCTACAGCAGAAGGGGCCTGCCTGTGAAACACTCGGCGATCCAGCGGCCCCTCGGTTTTTAAACCCTGAAGGGGTGTTGCCGAATGGGGAAAGTGTCTTCGCAATCTTCTGATGTAAACTGTAGATATTTAAATATGTAATAATTTCAAATTTCAATTACACATTTAAAAATGTTATCTCAACCTTAGACCAACTCGTATGTCTTATCTGATTTACAAATATAAAGCTTTTTCATTGTTTTTTGATTCGAATTAATTAAATCGTAACATTAACCAATTAGATCCTACTGAAATACCTGCCACAGCCTTCATAATTGAATTATCTGACACGTGTTTCACAAACTTGACAGCATTGGGATTACCTGGAGAATGATTCAACATATTGAGGCCTGATTTAATGGGTATTATTAAGTAGTTAAACATTAGCATCTGGGCGGAGATCAGAGACGAGAGCGGAAAGGCTGTT